ATGACAGCTCACAATATCTTCGGAGTAAAATTCCAATCCAAAATTATACACACTACAATTATAATCCATGCAAGTATATTAGGAATTATATGCTTTACATTTTTCCTCAAATAATAGTTTCTTTACGTAAATAGAAGTAACTACGACCTAGAAGTAATTAAAGAATACAGTTCTTATATCCTCAGCTCTAAATTAAATTAATATGGATTACAGGATCAATATGAGTTATGAACCTTTAGAATGTGATATTATTTTTAATAACACTAGGTTCTTAATCAGGATTAAGGGCTTGAAAATAAAAAATTTTGTTTTATATTTATTAAATTTGAGATAAGTTTGAAGTTCAGATTTTTCTACATTGATAATAATCACTATAAGGGTTTATTTTCAGTTACATTTAATAAAATTATGTGTTTAGTTGTTTCTTAATATCAAACTTAAAATCAACCCTAAGCCTTTACAAGTGTAAGAAATAGAAGAACAATCGTTACCGAATTTGGTGTACTCATTAGGATCATGGAACGAGTCAACTGTGATACCAAGAGCGATATTGGCAGTGGCATCAGTGGTGTACTTATAACTTAATTCCTGGGCATCAATCACTGCCTGTTCGTTTGACTTATTGGTTTGCTCCTTTAGATAGTTCATCATAGTCTTGGCTGTCTGCATCAACAGAGGCAGCATTTGCCTTAGTTTGTTGCCACTGAGTGTGGGAGTGATCTTAGATCTCAGGTATTTCCAGGTTGGATTCTTGAGACCGAATAGATTGGTCATACCCAAACTGTCCATCTGCTGGGTACCTGCATAATGGCGATCTGTGAAGTTATCGAATCTTCGAATCATGACATCCTTAATGATGTTGGGATCACGAAGTAGCAGACATGGCTTGTGGAAGATGTAAAATCCAACAAAAGGTGCATCCTTATTGATGGTGGAGTTGTGGAGTACACCCATGTGCCATCCTGGGGCAGTGCGGAAGAGCACGCCATCCTTGATGTGGCCAAACACTAGGTCAGCGTTTGGCAATTGCTCGACACCTCGCCGGTTCCAGTAGTTTAGCTTGTATCTTGCGTAGGAACGAAACAGCACGAGCGCCACAGCCCCAAAGACTACTACGAGGAATATGCCGAAAAGCATAGCTGGGATGATCCTTATTCAGACGAGAGACTTGAACAAAAAGACGCCATATGAATATTTGTTTTTTCAGAAGTAACAGCAAAGTTTTACAGTAAACTGCACCGATCGTTTATTTGCGATCGTCGATTTTCTATGTGTAACTATTTAAAATTTAGATATAGGATGTGTGCCTACTGCTAAGCAAATTTAAATTACAATTGGAAATCTTTCTAATTTTCTTCTCCTGAAATCTGCTACTAAGCCTTACAGATATACTGTAGTCGTTCTTTTCAAAATAGCAAAGTGTTTCCTTTACTGTATATTCCGCAGTCAAATAAAAAATTGTTTATAAATTATTCATATGAGGAAAAAACAAGGATACATTATTCACAATTAGAAAACCTGTTTTTTAAAAGAGACTCAAAAGTATGAAAAAATCTCATAAAAAAGCGAAAATATTTAAAACAGATGTTGTGACCATGTGTCTGAAAAGAACTTAGTTTCAAATTTTCGTAAGAAAAAAAAACATTGTCTCACGTTTTGCATAAGAAAAATATAGATAACAAAGAAACGATGTGGAAATCTTTGTTTTGTCACAACCGGTTATGTAACTATTTCTTAGTAAGGAAAAAACATTTCTGCACTACCCGAAATGTTTGGTAAGAATATACGTGTGGTATTATCATACATCTAATGAAATATTTTCCGTATTTCAGTGCTCACGTGCATAGCTGATAAATGTTTCGAAAAAATTACAACAAAAATTTTACTTCCAAGCGAATAAGGCTCTAATAATTCCTTCTAAATATTCAACAGTTTTTAAGACTTTTTGAAATAAATTTACTTTTGATATCAATGACCTTGATATTACATTCTGTGAGGTTCGTAAGGGAGACTTTCCAAACGAGCTCCGGAAAACT